CTGGAGTACCGGGACGCCATCTGCGAGTGCCCAGATAATCTGACCACGAACGAAATGTGGAGAGAGCTTACGGGTCAGATGGACTACCACGCCGGAGTGAAGGGTACTCGGCTCCTGACAAAAAAAACCTACAACAAGAAGACGCCTGGAGAGGCATCACAATACTCACATGGCAGGGAAAACACCAGAATCCCTATCACCCATCTATCGCCCATCAACACATGGGCACATCAAGTACATCTTGCCCATCCTCCTTGGGGCATTTTCCATCACAAATCAACAACGAGGGTACCGTCGAGTACCTTAAATCGAAGAAGGATCACTGTCGAGTATCCACCCAAGATTTCAAAGGTCTTCCTTTAAAGAACATCAACAATCATCCAAACCTCAAAGGATATCAACAATCATCCAAGTTGAGAGCCGCCGTCGAGCCGCTCAAATAAATGAATGACAACGAGGGTACCGTCGAGTTCCTCAAGTCGAAACCGGGATGTCGCTGAGCTCCCACCGTAGGTCGGTTATTAGCGAGCTCTTCGAGAACATCGAGCTCCCGGGTGACGTGGACCCACAGCCAGAGGCCAGCACCTCACAGCAAGACAGGGCCTACTTCGATGCTCGTTTCGACGCGCTGCAGCAGAGCATCGACACTCGATTTGACACTACTCAGCATAGTATCGACGCCCTCAGATAGGATTTCGATAGCCTGTCAGTCTGGCTGCATAGTCGCTTCCCAGACCCTCCACAGGATCCGCCGGCAGAGGAGTGAAGACCGGCTGCTTTTCTTGCTTTTTGTGTATTTGTTTGATTGGGCTGGGCCCCATTTTCTTCATTTCCATTTTACAAATTTCATTCTATTTAATAAATGAAATTTTCTACTTTTGGCTCCCACCATAGGTCCGTTGAAGCCTTAAAAATCAGCACAACTTGGTTGAGAGTCGCCTTCGAGCCTCTCAAATTAGTGAACGACAACGAGGGTACCGCCGAGTTCCTTGAAGTCAAAATCGGGATTTCCGTCGAGCTTCCATCAATGGGCCGGCTGAAGCCCTAAATATCAGTCCAGCCTGAAGAGGCTAAGCTCATCATATACTCCCTCTTCAACAAGCAACAAATAAAGGAACACATTATCACAAGGGAAACAATGCAGAAGCACCAAAGAGACGAAGAGAAGACCCGGATGAAATGTCTACGTCTTTCCTTGCCTTTGGAAAAGCAACACATTACTATTCCAAAGGACAAGTAAAGAGGGGCAGCTGTAGACACCCAATTTCGTCCGGGGGCATACAAACAAGGACATGGACCTCTGTTACGAAGGGAAGGAGCTCCCGAAGCATGCCAACAAGAAGACAGGACTTCAGAGGGCCCTAAAGCACAAATTAAATATTTTTATTGGCCCGGAACGGGCCGTTCCAAAATCGGAACGGGCCGTTCCAAGGTCCAGAACGGGCCGTTCCGAGGCTCCCAAAAGGCCAAAAACCCTAATTTGGAACGGGCTGTTCTGAAATTGGAACGGGCCGTTCCAAGATTAGAACAGGCCGTTCCAAACTCCTCAAAAAAGGGCTAAAAGGTTAATTGGAACGGATCTGGAACGCGTCGTTCCTAAAACGGAACGGGCCATTCCTAAATCTGGAACGGGCCGTTCCAAGGCCGTTCCGGTCTAAGAAATCACATGTTATTCTCACTACTGGAACGGGCCGTTCCGATTTCAGAACGGGCCGTTCCAGTATATGAATTTTACACGAAACGACCATATCCAGAACGGCCATTCCAATTTTGGAACGGGCCGTTCTGGACCCCCTTTCCGAAGTCTGTAAATAGACAGCTAGGGCTCATTTCTCAGGACTCCAAAATTTCGTTCAGACTCCCTAGAGCACGAAATTTCTCTCTTTTTCTCTCTCCCCCTCTCTTTGTATTTCTTGAGATTTTTGTGAGGCATTGTTGTGTGAAGGGTTGCCAAAAAGCACCCAAATCTCCATCTTAGAAAATTAATAGAGCTCGTTCAAGAGGTATTTCAGCTAATTTTCTTCTCTCTCTTTTATTTCTTATATTTGATAAATATTGTTTATAATAAGAGCAATCATGTAAATATTTTAGAGTCAATTATTTAATTTAAATTTTAAATCATGTAAATAATCATCAATAAAAGGGGATATAATATTTAATTTATTATTTCTTATCGCATTAACTTCATCATAGGGTACCGATTTAGGGCGTTGTAAGGGTGCTTAATACCTTCCTTACACGTAACCGACCCCCGAACCCAATTCTGGTTATCAAGGTCATTATTGGACTTTTAAAAATCTTTTCTTTTTCCAATGTTTTGAGTAAAACATTGGTGGCGACTCCATGAACTTATTTTCAAAACCATTGATTAAGGATTAGTCTGGCGTCCGAGCATTCCTTAATTGATGAGACTTTTAAAATGATGTCTAAATCATTAGTCGCGAGATCGGAAATTTTTGGATTGCGACAGGCCAAAGAGCAAAATGCTGAAAACTTTCAAAAGCAAGAGTCAAGGTATAAGAAAGTGTGGATGATCATTGATACTAGATGGAATTTACAACTACATAGACCTCTCTACGCAGCTAAATAGTATCTCAATCCTAAGTAAGTAACTGCATTCTTACTCTCTTAAGTTTTATGCACTTTAGTAAGTAATGACATTGTCTTATCTGTTGTTTGGTTAGGTTCCATTATGACAAGAATTTCAATCTGGATAGTGAGGTGTTGTTTGGTTTATATGAAACCATTGAAAGAATGGTTCCTAATAGAAGGACAAGATTTTTAATTGATCAACAACTTGAAAAATCCAAGGCAACTAGGAGACATTTTGGAATGAGTATGGCAATAAATACTAGAGACAAAAAACAACCTAGTACCTCTTTATAATTTATATACTTTGTATTCATCATAAAGCAATAACTTGTGTAGCATACTTTGTTTATGCTAACTATAATATACATTTGTTTTTGATAGCTGTTTGGTGGGAGAGTTATGTTGGAGAGGGTAAGGAGTTGCAAAAACTTGCCATGAGAATTTTGAGCTTCACATATAGTGCTATGGGATGTGAAAGGAATTGGAGTACATTTGACCAAGTGCATACCAAGAGAAGAAATCGATTCGAGCAAAAAAAATTAAATGCACTTGTGTTTGTTAAATATAATCTTCAACTTGAGATAAGGAAAAGGAGTATAGAAGGGAAAGGAGATACCTATGATCCTATATGTTTATTAGACATTGAATCGGATGATGAATGGATCACTGAGAAAGGGGATCTTTGCTTGCCTATTGATTCTTCATGGATAAATATACATGAGTTTTTCGATTTTAATGAAGGTGCTCCAAGCAAGAAAAGGAAGAGAGGTAATTTGATAGTAGATTTAGAAAATAATGACAAAACAAAGTTAAATACATAATGTCATGCTTATTCTTTTCTTTTGGTTTTATAGGTACAAGAAACATAAATGTCAAGCCTGCCGACAAGAGGAGAAAATATATAATGGGAGATGAGGATGAAATTGAAGAAATAATTAGAGAGGGAGAGGAAGAAGAAGAGATTTTCATATTGGATGATGAAGATGAACTAAGTGATGTTGATCTTGGGATGATGATTGATCATCATCACATTCAAATTATCACTCGGAGACTTAGTCCTTTTTTGTTTTTTGGGAGGATTATACTGCTGAATTGTGACTATTATGAATCTTATGATTAGGATTTGTGTTTATTTTACGGTGTACATGTTTTCATATGTTTCTTTAAGTTAAATTGTTCCTACATTTTTGTTTTCTAGTTGTTGGTATAGAATTTTGGCATTTATTTGTCTTTATTAACTACATGATTCACGATACGATTCAATTCATGATTTGAATCTCGATTTAATAACCTTGACTTAAAGGGTATATAGTCTTAGTTGGAATCATGATGCCAATTCTGCAAATACTCAATGAAATATTTTGAATAAAATATTTCAGGTTTATTTTAAGAATTAAGATATATTATTATTTTTTATTAATGATGTGATCTTTTTCTTGGACGCCTTTGTTTTTTCAAGTTATGATGTATTTTTAAAGTCCCTATATCATGATAACTGTCGTAAAAAATATATATTCCTGAATCATGGTCCATTATCCAGTGTTAAGAGATCTTTTCTATTTTGTTTTATTTGGTTTAAAAAATCTGGTTAAAAACTCTGGTTTAGAAAGCTAGTTTAAAAATTCTGGTTTAAAAAAATTGGCTAAGAACCTGGTTAAAAAAAATCTGGCTTAAAAACATTGGTAAAAAAATCTAATTTAAAAAAAATTAGTTAAAAAAATTGGTCTAAAAGTTGGTTCAAAATTAATTTTTATCTAATCCTTTTGAAAACGAATTAATCCATAAAATCGGATTGAAACCGACTCAAAACCAATCCATTAATGAAATTCGATTCAAAATCGAATCAATAAACTGGATTGAAATTTTATGAACTAATCCATTTAAAAATGGATCGGATTGATTTGAACAGATTTTTTAAAATGTGGATCCATTCACATCCCTAGTTGGATCTGCCCTCACGTCCGGTTCAAAGACTTGGATGAGTGGGCACGAGCGTTCGAAAGTTTTAGGATTATTCCAGTACATAATGCAAACAAATTGAAATTGAAATTCCCTAAAAACCCCAATTTCGTCTAGAAAGTCCTCACTCCAAGAGGAGGAAGAATGAGAATGTACCCGTCTCCAAAACACTCATTCTTGAACGTTTTAACTACCATGATTGAATCATATATGGATTGATTAATATTTTTAAATCAACTAGGGGTAACTGCCAAGAATTCCCAAACTGTGACCGCATAAACGGGGGCAACTGCTTTTATCATCCTTGGAATGCTTCAATGCAAATATGTAGTTTGTAATTATTCAATCAGATAATAATGAATCAAAACCCTTGAAGCCCTGCTGATTTCAATTTCATCATATCAGCAGAAGGAGGCTAAATGCTAGACCATTTTTTTCACGGATTTAACTTAACAGGAAAATATGCCTTCAAGAAAATTTTAACACGAATGCATCTTATTACAATTTCTTGCATATTACCCTTCCAAAAACATGGCAGGTTCTAAGGATTGAAATAAAACTACATAATCTTAGGTGGGTGGTAATAAGCCACGTTGAACAAAAAATCTAGTTGACGAGTCAACAGCAGTAAATAAATGAATACACATGTAGATACTAAGCATTAGTATGACAAATTGTGAGACATAAAAGATGTCCACCAGGATGAGGATTGATGTCAATTTTTAAGTGCGTTCATTTTCTCCCTCAGGTAGTAGAGTTTGGCCCTTCTCACTTTCTTCTTGTCAAGCACCTTTATCTCCTTTATGTTAGGTGAATACCTATCACACAAAGCCCAAAGCTCAGGAATTATTCATTGTGTAATATGACTACAAACACAATCAACTGAAAATTAAAAAATCCCTACGGAAAATTACACCATTCCACCCTCCCCCCTCTTCCAAACCAAAACAATAAGGATAAACAGAAGATCATTAATAGTAGCGCTATCCCAACACTCATCTCCAGCAAACAAAGAAACACCTTGCATATTAAACAATTCAGTCTGAATGCACAATGAAGCAACGTAACTATTACAACTTATAATTCTACACTAAAAAAGGTCACTTTTACCCCTATATATGATGGTTTGGGGTGGGGTACAAGATTGAATTGGATTCGATGAGCAAACAAGAACATCACCCATAAAATATATATTCCCAAAAGAAGTCTCATTCTAAACTCTAAATAAATGTGCATGCGAACAAATTTTGAAATAATCATGTGCACACTAGCTTTATTTTAGAAGTTACTCTTCCTAGCTTATAAAAAAAAAGCACTAAAATTGCTTCTTTCTATATTTTTTCTCCCAGAAAACTTATTTATCATAAATTATTTAGACATCTTTTAAGGGTTTAATCACCTTCTGGTCCCTATAGTTTCATAAACTTCATCGTTTAGCCATTATAATTAAAAAATTCCATTTCAGTTCCTATAGTATACACAACATTTTTGTTTCTTTTTAGTCTCTATAGTTTCATAAATGTTTAATCCCTATAACAATAGACAATGGGGACTAAAAAGTAACAAAAATGGTATGTATAGAGACTAAAATAAAATATTTTAATTAGAAAGACTAAAAGATAAAATTTATGAAATTACATGAACCAAAAAGTAATTAAACATTTTTTAATTAAGGTGTTTTGTAGAATACTAAAAAAATATAACTAGAATTTCAAATAATTATCATCATCTATGTAATTATTTCTATCATGTTTTATCTTCATGGCCAGTTATGTAATTTAACTACACCCTACTTAAATGCAAATAAATGAAAAAAAGATGTTTTATCAGTTCAAAAGTATGTCTAAAAACATATCTACTTAAAATATGGGAATGAAATACTTACAGAGGGAATAGAGATTCAACCCCAACCCCAGCCACCAGCCTCCTAATTCTGAATGTACTATTGAGTCCAGCATTACGCCTTGCAATAACAATGCCTTTTATAATAGAAACACGCCTTTTATTCTCAGGTACTTCCTGTTATATCAGATGTTAGTATAGAAAATATCATATTATTATCACAAACAAAGAACAAATATAAATCAAAAATCAAAAACTTTCATACCACTTTGAGTTGCACAATATAACCGGGCTTTATATCAGGTATCTCTCTCTGCCCTCTCACTTCCTCCACTGCTTCCTTGTCTAAAATCTAAAGGATATAAATACCAACCATTTTTACAAATTACAAAAATGAATGTTTTTATTTAAAAACGATACAGAGCAGTCACATGCCTGCATAATGTGCCGTGCAGTTTTATCTAATCTCTTAAATTTGATGCGAGGAGGCACTTCAGGCTCCACAGGGGCACTATCTTGAGAAGAAGAATCAACAGAAGTTGTCTCTGTCGACATAAATCTCCTAGCAAAAGGTGGTACAAGCTCAGAAGCCCACTGAGACGAGCCCAGCCCAGAACTTCCCAGCAATGACGCTAAACCATTACGAAACTCGAATCTCGAAAGTGCCTCAGTATGAGGAAATTTTGTAATCTGCAAAAAGCAAGGATCCATAAGGGCTTATACATCATATCCCACACTGTCAATTTGTGATAAAGTCTATATTCCAAGGTCTCACTTTCAAAAACTAAACTGAAACATAGAAGCATGGAACAAAATAACACCTGAAGAGCTCTAAAAACTCATGTCATCTTCAATTCATTTATCCATTCCATTCAATCATGCATAATTAACGAAACACAAAACTATTAAACAGAACAGATCACAACTGTGTTAAATATATTATTAACTGCACATCATCAAGCCTCCAATCATACTTCAGAATTATATGAAATCAATTGACACACTATAACATTAAATCATATGTTATTCTAACAAAATAAGGTCCAGATACATTGTCATCCTCTTCACCTCAACAAGCTAATCTAAATCTGCAATTCCATTAAAATTTGAAAGCAAAAAAAAAAAAAACAACAACAACAACAACTATTTTCTTCCTTGCTTTATTTAGCAGCGGCATAACATCAAATTCAAGCGCGAGAAAAAAGTGTAAGGAAATGAATGAAACAAAGCAACGCTTACGGCGATCGGAGAAGCGCGAGACGAAAGGTTTGGGACAGAGAATGACCATGAAGAGGTCGGAGGTTGAATTCCCGGCGGAGATCGACGGAGGAATGGTCGGAGCAGAGATGATGAGACTCTGCGAGAAGCCATGACCGGAGAGAGAGAGAGAGAGAGAGAGAAGGGGAAAAGCCCTGAGTTAGGGTTTATGGGTTGCGCACGTGCTCTGGTGCTACCTTGGGCTTCGGTAACGGGCCCGGAAAAGAATTCAGGCCCAACAAGTAGCCTAATGGACTTTAATAAGTGGGCTTTTTTGGGCATAGTTTTATTGAGTCTTAACCAATGTTTTTAAAATTGGTAAAGATAGTGACAAGAAAGTTGTCAACAAAAATGACACGACAAAACAAAACAAGAGTTTTGTAGTTTTAAAATGTAGGTTTAAATACTTTTCATCTCTTTAGTATTATGAAGTTTATCTTTTAGTTTTCACATATATTATTTTTATTTTTTTAGTCTTTATTGATTATATTATTATAATAATTAAAAGATAAATTTTATGAAATTATAGAAAGTGAAAAAAAAAAACTAAAATATAATATGCTTAGAGACTAAATTAAATATTTTTAACCATAACTTCATGAAACTATTAGACTAGGAGGATATTTGAACATAAAATGAAATTAGTAATTTATCTTTTACATAATAAATGGCTTAGTACACTAGTGCTGATCAGTTAGCAATTTGCTGAACCTTCATCTTAAAAATGATTACATTGATTAACGTAATTTTAAAATCCTATTCATTACCTTTAATTGTGATTTATTTATGCTCTTTGCTCACACATCACGTACGTATTACACACTTGAAAAAAATATATAGACGTGACAGTTTTTGCAATAAGAATGAAGATAAAAAGCTAACCTAATATTATTTTTATCTTTCACTACAATAAATGTTACATATAGTAACATACAAAAAGTATCACTATAAGTATAATATATGTAGGTATATATCTATTTGGCATAGTTACGCACAATTTTATTAATGTTGATTTTGAATGAAATTTAACAACATATTTTTTGTGTCATTATAATTTATATTCACATTTTTAACAATATACCAACATATATTATATTTATTGTATAGGTAAAATTAGTTTTTAATAACATATATTATGTCATTATAGGATGTGTGTCACTATATGACAATTTTCTTGTAGTGCTTGATACATTTAGACATCCTTAAACAAGTTTTGACTCTAAATTTTGTAATGGAATTAATTAAAGGAGGTCTCAATAATTCAATATTCAACAAGTCATGACATATATGAATTGAAGAAACATCTCAATTAACAATTAATTAAAGAATCGACCTATTACTAATATACAACATTGTTATATATCTACGTATTATTCGATTAACATGCACTTATGCAGTGATAGGAAAGTTTGTGACAAGCAAGTTTAGATATCTTCATGAAAACAAAACAAAAGAAAAGGTTAAAAATGGCAATTTAAGTAATACAACATATCCTAACTAGTTAAAATCGTAATATAGCATATTTTAAGTACCACCGAATCAAATTCATGGGATTAATTAATAGTGGCTTCAATAATTCAATGTTCAATATTAAGTCATGCATGACATATATGAATCGAAGAAATATCCCAATTAACTATTAAGGACTAAACCTATTACTAATAGAGCAATGTTATCTACATATTTTTTCATTAACAAGTAATAATAAAAAAACAATTGTGACAAGAAAGCTTACATATAATAATGAAAACAAAACAAAAGGAAAAGGTTAAAATGCATAGTAATGACCCAACAAGTTGAAGTTTTAAGGTTAAAATATTTTTTTAATCACAATAATTTCACTTATTTTATTTTTTAATTTTTATAATTTAAAATAATTTTTTAAAAATTTATATTTATCTTTTTTAATATTTTTTAGTTCTTATAGTTTAAAATAAATTTTTTTAATTTCTATACTTACATTTTTTAATCATTTTAATCTAATTATTAATTTTTTTTGTAACATTATTCAGGATTTAGATATTATACATATAAAGCTAAATTAATACCTATATCACATTAATACAAAAAGGACAATCTTACAAAAAAAAATTAACAATAAAGACTAAAAAAATAAAATATTGTAAATATAGGAATAAAAAAATTTATTTTAAACTATAAAGATTAAAAATGATTAAAAAAATAAATATAAAAATTATATATATATATATATATTAAATTACAAAAATTAAAAAATAAAATAAATGAAATTATAGAAATCACAATAATATTTTAACCATATCATAATAAAAGCATATTTTAAATACCATCAAACCAAATTCAGCATCATGATTACTCTAAATATATATACATCATAATAGCTTTCTTGTATAAAAATATTTTTAGATGTTTCTCTCGATGAAAGTGTTTTTATTTTAGCATTTTTATTCAATAATATGTTTTTTTTTATAGCAAAGTTTCAACTTTTTATCTATTTTAATTTGTATTTTTTATATTTATTTCTAAATTAAATTTATTATTTTTAAAAATTAATTATCAATAACTAAAAATAATATTCTCATAAATTTAAAATATAATTTATTTGTTAAAAAATTTTCTATATAAATTTTAAATATAATAAAAATTATATATTAAATATAATATTTATATGTATACATAATTTATTATAAATTTTAATCATATAAAATAAAAAAAAATATATATATTTAACTTGTGTAGCATACGATAAAATATTAATTATTCTACATAAAAAGATAATGATTTTTTTTAATGTATTTTATTTACATTATACGATTCTCGTATATTTAAATCGTCTCCGCTCCCGATACCTGATGGAGGTAAAATCTAGGTACTCATTCTCATTTGTGGCAGAATTCAGGTTTCTCTACCCCAATTTTTACCCACTAAGACGAATTAGATTATCATGCCTAGTTAAGTAAAACATTTGAAGGATAAGTAAACTTCTTTAATTTATAAATTTATTTAATTAAAATAAATTTGTTTAATTGACGAGTTTATTTTCATAAATTAATTGAAGTAATTTATAATTTAAAGTTATTAGTTTCTTTTTCTCTTTCCATTTTTATCATTATTAATTTACTTGAAATTCTTTATTATTTTTTAATTTAAAAACTTTTTTTATATATTTTAATGTCTTTTGCACCTTAAAATACTGCGTTGAAAAGCCTACAAGTGGATAGGGTGGACCCCTAATTTTGTTTTTGTTCCCTTATTTTTGGGACGACATAACCATATATCCTGATATCCAAAATACGAAAAGACATATGAAAAATTGGAGTGTAATTGTTGATTCATAAAATCCTATGCTGAAAAGTCTTAAAAGAATGTGAGGTCCATTCGACCTTATTCTCTTTTGATTACATCACCGATAGACGAATTTGTAAAACTAAATACTTTATTTTAGTTATATGATTGACTAAGGGCAACGTAAAATCTAAAAACAAAAAAGAAAGGGAAAAAAAAAGCCTTCAAAGGAAAACTAAAAGGACACTTCCATCTTAATTTTTTGGTGACAGAATCGCAGAACTGACAGAAGATTCAAAATACAAAAAGCAAGATGCTTTGACTTAGAGCATAAACTTGCTTATAAGCAAGGATTTTTACCCATCAAAATAAAAAAAAAAATACACGAAATAAATTTTAAAAAAAACTATTTACCAAAATAGGTAATTTTGGACACGTAGGCGCCAACGTAGCACTAAAAATGCCTGGGGTGGGTGTTTTTTAGAAAACTCCTCCCCCAGGCGCCATCTATGCTGATGTGGCATGGTTAAGGGGGCGGCACCATCTACACATGGCATCATTTAGGTGAAGACGCCCCAACCCCAGGCGTCTTATATGCTGAGCTGGCATGCACAAAAGGCGCCTCCCCTCCAGGCGTTTTGCCATGTGGCATGTGTGGGGGAAAAACGCCCTCCCCCTGGGCGCCTTGTACACACATCAGTACAGATTTACAAAAACGCCTCAGAGCCAGGCGCTATCAAATTAGTTAAATGTATTGGATTGTACAAAATTCATTTGTTCGGTTTGTGGTCCAACATTTTTTATTTGGTGGTCCAGGTGCTGCAAGTAAGTAAGGGTGTTTAAATTTTAAATTTTATAATATGTTGTATGTATGTATCATTGTTAGGTTTGTAAAGTAGAGTGGTATAAAAATTAAAAATTAGAATTTTTTTTTTGTTTGAAGTTCAAAACGAGATTTATAAACCTGGAACGGGCCGTTATGAAAAAGCACGTATTCAAAATGGGCCGTTTCTGTTTTCAAAGAAAGGTTGTTAAGTTATGGTTTGGAACGACCCGTTCTCTTTTTAGAACAGGGCGTTCTGGATCAAAAATTTACATGTGATTAGTTCCCTGAGAACGGGCCGTTCTGAAATCAGAACGGGTTGTTCTGAAATCAGAACGGCTCGTTCTGAAATTAGAACGGGTCGTTCTGGGTTCATAGACCAAACACATTTGTTGCAATGAGAACGGCCCGTTCTGAAATTAGAACGGGCCGTTCCAGTGGCCCAATTAATATTTTTTTAAATGAAAAAGCTATTTAATTTGATTTTTATAATTGAATATATGTATTTATTGCAATGTTAAAAATTGTGATATTATACTGAATATTTGAAATTTTAAAATTTGAGACACAATACTAATGAAATGTTTATTTTGATTTGTATTTGATTAGGAATGTCTCGTAGAGGTATTGATTACGTACCTGATAGTGATGAAGAAGTAGACATTGTTCCATCAAATGAATTATGGACAGATGAACAATTTTTGGCGTCAATGAGAAGTGCAATGGTAGCAAGACAGGCTGAAGAGGCTCAAGAACAGGAGCCATTGTCTCCGTTGTCACCCCCTACACCAAAACTTGGGGATGATGACGAAGAGACATCGAGTACACGTGACATTGGTCGTGTTATTCCTGGACCAGCTGGTTTGGTCCAAGCTACAATGAGGAACAGGGAAGCTGAAAATCCGTTGCCAACACAAGAGTTTTTGGCTGATCTTAACGGACCTGCGATGTTGGTGTTCAACTCTAACTCGTGGCGCTATGCTATGCATTATATGAAATCTAGAGGTTTGTTTAGCATATTAAGTTTCATGTGTGTAAATTTAATGATGCAAATAAT